AAATGCATAGCACAAATTAGAATTTTTAAGAAAAACGGCATTGGGAATGAGAACTTAGTTTCCTCATACATTTGTATCGATCACAGAACAGTAAACATAGATGGACTTAGATAAAATTTAACCTATCACCTTCCTGACAAGTAGTCCACATTTTGCATTGTACCTTGGTGCATAATGTGACCCTTGATTCAAAACTTGTCAATTTTCAAAGTCTATAAATTTTATGAGCCAGCTAGGGGCTGCAGCTTGCTCCACACTGGTGTTTCTGAGCGGACTACTGCTTGCTGAGTATAAGGCCGTGTCTCTCTTGGAAATGTCAACATCCAACATCAGAAAGTAGGCAGAGGTCCCCGTGCTCACAGGCACTCAGGAGCTAGGCCTTGGGAAACAGCTGGAGGACAGTGCGGAGCAATGGGGGGCGGGGCAGTGTGACTTGGACTGCGCAGCTTAACTTGCACAGACCTGATTCCATGAAAGTCCACCAGAGGTGCTGTGCCCGCCAGCGCCCCCTGGACCCAACGCTGTCTTATTACCCAGCCTGAGACCCCTACTCAGAGACCCCAAATGCTGCACTCTCCTCAGCAGTGCCTCCCTCCCCTACCTAAACGCTTCTATAAAAACGTGCCCTCACCTCTTGCTCAGGGCCAGGGGATTTTTGCCCATGGCCTGACTGCACCCAGGCAGCAATAAAGTCCTCACACGTTGTCGCAACTTTGCCTGCCTCAGTGGCATCAGTTGTGCCCTGGTTTAGCCTAACAGTCTGTGACCCGGGAGTGGAACTGCTGGGGTGCACAGTAACTCTGTCCAGCTCTGGAGGGATGGTCACTGTCCTCCACAGAGGACGCACCATTTTCACGGCTACAAGCAGAATTATGAGGGTTCCAGCTCCTTCCTTCACGGTCTCAGAAACACTTGTTATACTGCGTTTGCAGAATCACAGCTGCCTCGGCGAGTACGAAGTGGTGTCTCATTGTAGTTGTGGTTTGTGGTTCCCTAATAATCAGCGATATGTAGCATCTTTTCATGAGCTGACTGGCCACTTGTAATTCTTCGTGGAACTGGTCATCCAAATTCTTTGTTCATCTGTTTGGCTTGTCTTTTTGTTGTTGAATTATGAGTTATTATGAACACAACACTCTTGGTAGAAGAAAGACTTTGTATTTTGTCTCCTCCTATAAGTTCTTTTCACTGTCTTGGAAGTCTCCTCTGATGCCCAAAAGGTTTTTATGATGCTTCCAATTCATTCTTTTCCCTTTGATATATGTGCTTCCATATATTTTTGAAACCACTGTCAAATCCAAAACCATGACAATTTGTTCTTGTTTTCTTCTGAGAGTTTCAAATTTAAATAGATGCTGAGGATCTTCATCTGTATTTGCAAGGACAATGGTCTACAGTTTTCTTGTGATGTCTTTTTCTAGCTTGCGTACTAGTAACGCTGGCCCCGTAACGAAGCAGAAAGGAGCCTTCCTTTGGTTTCATCTTCTCTTTTTTGAGAAAGCTTAGTGCTAATTCTTTAAATGTCTGCTGCATATAACTGTTCAAAGCCCTGTTCTAGAATGTCTTTCATTTCCGTAAGGTTGGGAGTTGTTATGGCTTTATATAGGAGACCCCCAAAGCCTCAAGCTCAGGGTGGGGCTTTTCAGACCTGGCTGGGGTTCTGATCATAGGATGAAGGCACTCAGGGTGTGTGGCACTGATCCCAATTAGAGTCCTGGGTGAGGCTGAAGGGATTCGAAGTCCCACACGGGGACCCTTCTATCCAGACCCACGTATTCTGTAAAAGCACAGCATGATCTGCACCACCTGGAAGGCTTGCAGCCCGGATGGAGGAAAAGGGAGATGAAGCTAGAAGCTCTGGAGGTTCGCTTGGGTGGAGCTCCGGGCTTCGCCTTCTTCTGCGTCACCTTCTGGCTTCCAGTGTGCACCCCTCACCTCCAGCACAGCCTTCTGCCTTCCCACGCGGACGCCTTGGCCTCCTGATAGGGACTTGCGCTCCAGGCCTTCCGGCTCTGACCGGCTCCTTCGGCTCTCCAGCACATGGATGGGCCTTCTGCTTTGTTCACGCCTGGTTCTACGGGTGGCCGTCGCGAGCCCACCTCGTAAACCCTTCCGTAGCTGTATAACCTGCATTAACCCTGTTTCCCTAGTGAGCAGGGGCCGATGCAGTAGTGATGCCTCTACTAGGCAGAGCCTGCTGTCCTTGTCCTGGGGGCTCACGGAGGTCAGTTCTCTGAGAACACAGCTATTCTCACTGAGCTTGTCTCTCCTGACCCTTACTTTCTTTTGGGAGTTTTGGGTTTAACTTGCTATTGATTTTTGGTCATTTGCTTGTTTCCTAAGATGTAAATTGGGAAACCGATTTGAGATTCTAATGTAGGCTGTGGGTGTTCACACATACAAATTTCCTTCAGAGCAATATTTTGCTACATTTCTTTAGTTTTATGTATTTTGCTCTTATTCATCACAAGAGACTAATTTCTTCCATGATTTCTTCTTTGACTTACTGGGTAAACGTCCATATTTACTATCTATGAATTGTAGCTTTTCTAACATTCCTTGATTTCTAGTTTGAGTCCATTGAATTCCAGGGAATATATTTCATATGATTTCAACTTTTCTAAATCTATCGGTCATTTGTTTTGAGGGCTAACATATGGTTTATTCTAGAGACAATTCCACAGTCACTGAGATGTTGGAAATGGTTTGTGTATGTCTAGTATAAGTTATTTTATAATCTCATGCAAATTTTCTATTTGTTTACTGCTCTTTTATCTACTTACAGTTTCACATATTTTGTAAAAGCAGAGCATGACCTACAAAAAGAACTACTCCCAAGATGACGGAGGCTTTGACAAAGTGGGACAGGCATTTCACTAGAGTGCCCGGACCACCAACACTGGACTGACGGTGGCTGGACTGCTCTTACCCGAACCCTAACCGCTCCTCTCCCCAAGCCTGGCAGCTCTGTCCTTCGCAGCTGGTCCGGGAATGCACTGTTTCACTGTCCTTCTTTCCTTGATTGCCGTGACAGCACAAGACATGTATATTCTCCCCATACTTTTTAAACCCCATCCTTGTCGCCTAGCTTTTGGCCTGAGGGGGTTGGCTGTCTCATCAAAGTTGTGGTTTATTTCTGCTGGTGACTGTGCTGATGAATTCTGTATTTAGCTCCCCAGCTAGAACCATCACGATGTTGTGCATCAACTTCCAAATCCCAGTGGCTTACAGACCATACAGGACTCTGCTCATAAATCCACAGGAAGCGTTTCACGGTGCCAGACGGGCCCCACCTGCCCCAGTGCTTTCCACTGTGGGCAGCAGGTCCCAGGACATGCTTACTAGACAGCAGGGGACAGGGCACACAAGCTCAAGTCAGACCAGGTGGAGAGGTGCAGCTTCTGCTTGGGTCACCCTTGCTAAAGTGAGTTGGCTAAGCTAAGGTCAATGGGAGGAAATCCCCCTCTACGGGAGGAGACAGCGCAGAGCCGGGAAGGGGCCGTGCCCAGCCACAGGGCGGCAGAGTGAGGCCGCAGGGGCACTGCAGGAGGTTTCCAAACCCTTTGACTGCTAGGAACTTTCTCTCAAGTCAGGCCCTGTCTCTCTCCGAGGTACTACCGTCCTTTGTAAAATGATGAACAGGAGGCAGTAAGACTTTAAAAATGTTGCAATCCTATATCAACCCCCAATATTTTTTGGAGAATGTCCCTAGTTTAAAAAAAGTTAAGTATATGGGAAAATAAAAATCCCACCTCCCAGCGGCCCACTCTTCACAGGTCATTCCCAGGCTCGTGAGGACACCCCTCCCCGTCTAGTATTCCTGACTCCAAATGCTTGTGACGTATGGAGTTCTCGCTTAGAGCACGGAAATGCTGATATTTTCTCCTAGTGATGTAACTACCTTAAAAATGGCCCATTTCATAACCGCCTGCCTTGCAAGCAGGCAGTCGTGAGTTCGATCCCTAGTACCGATAAAAATGAAAAAAAAAAAAAGGCCCATTTAGTCTGTCTTCGGGGCCCTCCACAGACCTGGCTTTGTGCATACACAGGCCCTGGAACCTTAGTGTCACCTAAGTCTTTCCTGTGTCTCCCTTGAAAATTGTAAGAGGCAGCTCGGAAAGAATAATGCTTCTAGCTTTAAAAAGATGAGCTACGCAAAGAAGACCAAAAGTCTCAACAGTAACCGGCATCTTTACTTCCAAAGAGAATGACAGAGACTTAGGAATTTAGAGGTATCTCCACAGGGATTAGTAAATCCTAATGACTCCACCCAGCTTTATCAAACATTTGAACCACACAGAACAGCAGTGCTCTTTTGGACTGGACCGCAGCATTGCTAGAGGACAAGCAGGGACTGCTGTCCCTCTGAGCCGGGCCTCGCTGGCTCCAAGCTGAAGCTCATCCCAGGCCCACTCTTGCTCCTGGGAATGTTCCCCGGCTCAAGGAACTCCCCGAACAGGGACGGCGTGGAAGACCATGCCGCTGAAATGCAGCTAGAGAAAGCCTTGCCAGAGACCTCAGACTGTGGAAACCACATCTCCCGTAAATCTTCAGCTCACTATCAAACCCCGACTTACCAGGAGCTGCCGAGAAACCTCCTAACATGCTGTGGCCCTTCACTATGCTGCTGAGCTTGCCCAGTACTGGAGAATCTGACCCAGTGTATACGTGGACTTGATAAATGAGGCAGGGAGTGTCCAGACCTGCGATGCGGACTCATTTCACTGGTCCTGAAATGCACCTGTGTACACCTTACCTGTGCTTTTTTCCTTTTTTTTTTTGATGGTACCAGGATTGGAACTCAGGGCTATGTGCTTTGCTAGGCAGGTGCTGCCCACTGAGGTGAACCCAACCCCTTACCTGCACTTTTAAATAAAATGTGCTTCTTTTACAACATCTTGTGAACTTTATATAAAAGCTGTACTTTTTCTAATCTTAGAATAATTCTCATTAAAATAACATGAAATTTCAAAGATGTGGTTGTGACTTAAGCAACATACCTGCAGGTATGGTCGTCACTGACGCTTGCAATTTCCTGGCCTTCTTTGGGGTCAAACGCCAAGCTGTTAATGAAGTCTGAGTGGCCCTCTAAAACCTGACAGGAAGGAGAAGGTCAGTAAGAAGACAGCAAAGTAACCGCCAATATTCCTACCTAGTAGTTTTTAGTTTTCAGCCTCAAAAGCTTTTCCTGCACGCTTTTTTCCCTACGAATCTTTCTGAAGCGATCTGCTATTTTTAAACCGTGATCTCCACACCCACTTTTCTGGGAAGTTGATCTGGGAAAGAAGCTCCGCAGCTCACCACTGTGGCCTCGCCTTGCTCCTGGCAGAACCACGGAGGCCTTCTCACCCCACCTGTCCTGTCACCCCCGGCTCCCTCCTCCCAGGGCTCACACGGAAGCTGAGGCGCCCTTTGCAGGGCGCCGCGGCCTCAGCCCGCCAGGCTCTCAAGCGCACCTGTGGCTGTGCACATGGCCCCTCACACACGGGACATGAGCTTCATCACTCGCTCAGGGTGATGGTCAGCACTGGTGACAGTAGTGTCACAAACAGAAAGCCCCCGTGGCCACAGAAGGACTGATGGGAAGCTCCACAGTACAGGGCGACGGGGGAGCCGGCAAGGCGCAGCCTGTCACCGCCGTGCCAGCTGACGTCCTAGGCCGGCCTGCGAGGAGCGTAACTCTTCAGGCTACTTCCCCGCCCTCCAGACACTCAAATCGGATCTCAGTTCTAAGGTTAACAAGGCAGTTTTATATAACACTGCTCACCATGTGGAATGTGCCATGGGGGAAAAAAGTAGGTTTAAACATTTCATAAATCCAGTGGCCTTACATAATTTTCCATTGTCTACAAAATAAAGTACATTAGATTTAAATGTGTACTGTCTTTTATAACAAGTACATTAATTTTGCAAAGGTAAAAATGTTACCAGCCATTATCTACTTGGTTGTCCATAAGGCAGCCTTGGACTAACCAGTACGGCCAGCATTGCATGCTCACTGGTATAGCTTAGTGCCTGCTTTTCACTACTAAGTGTCTTTGCTTTGTGACATATCTCTAGTTTACTAGAAAGCCAAGAAAGCAATACTGTTTCTTTTTTGCTTTGGTACCAGGGATTGAACTCACAACCTGGCTATTACCAGGCAGGCCTTGACTACTCAGCTCAGTCCTGGGCCCCAGTAACACTCTTTTCTTAAGTAAACACATTTTAGTGCTCAAAAACACACAGGTGAGGCTCTTTACTGTGAAGCGTGGTCTCAGGGTTTTAACTGAGTTCACACAGTCAAAGGTCAGAATCCCCCCAGGCTGGCGCGATGATCCCACCGACTGTGCGGACAGGAAAAGGCTACAAATGGATGAGCACAAGAGGCCATGGCCATGCTGTTCCAACCCTGTGCTCCTCCCTCTGCCCTGGACAACACCGCAACCCTGTTTCCCGGAGGTCAACGCTTACTCCATGGTGCACTGCACTCTCCCACCCAGCATGGATTCCAATGCTCTTCCTAGTATTTCATTAACAATGACATTAGAGTTTTAATCTGCAGCTGTCACCAAGAACCTAGCTATTATACTGTGTGACAGAGGAAATGGTACCCTAAATTACATCTCTGAAAGACGAGCACATGAAGCCATTATAAAGAGGGACTGATACATGCTGGGCGTGGTGGTGCACGCCTGTAATCCACACTCAGGAGGCTGAGGCAGGAGGGTCACAGTGAGTTCGAGCTCACCCGGGCTGCACAGTGAGTTCAGGGGCTGCCTGAACTACACAGCGAGACCCTGTCTCCAATAAAAAAGAGGGATAAATACAATTAACAAAACAAAAAATGAACAGCTATTTCAAAATGAAGTCTAAAGTCTTGTGAATTATACCTGTCAACATACCTTATATTCATTTTTATCTTGAAGATCTGAAGTGAATAACCTGATTTTCAGATCAGAAGCTGATGTACAAAATCTGTAATTAAAAACCCCAAAACAAACCTAATTTTAATCTTTACATGTAAAAGTCACCTGTCACCAGCCCTCCCACCAGGTTACCAAACTGCTTTAGGGAAACTAATAATCCTGTCTTTGGGAGGGGTGGCTGTAGATCTACTGGAAGGAAAAAAAGCCACCACTTACAAAAGTAGGTGGCAAATAAACATTTTACTTAGAGAACACACAAATGCCAGCACACTCTGGATTTGTCTCCTCAGTCACGGAAGAGACAAAGCTGATGCCAACCAGCACCCGAGTGCCAGGGACTCTCCCCTTCCCCGCGTCTCTGCTGTAGCTGAGGCTCCTTCTAGCTGAACTAGGTCACCTCAGGGAACCGAAGCCAGGCGAGCGATTTATTCTCCAGCCTCCATGAGAAAAGAGCCGGCAGCAGTGTGAAGAGCGGCAGGCAAAGCTAAGAGGGAAAGAGGCGGCTGAGGACACGGCAGGGCGGGCGCCCCTCCAGGAGGGTGCTGACCAGGGCAGGGCGCTCAGCCCTCCCGGCCGCTGCGGTCGAGGAGGACACGCTGACACTCTGAAGGGCGTACGAAGGAAGGAGTCTAAAAGTTGAATCACAACTTTGGAGAATTATGCATAAATAGTGAAGAACACTGGATGTATGTGAACCTTTTCTATTTCTACTTTTCTAAATTTTATGTTAAGCTTGTGTTACTTTTAGGATAAAGTATATAGTTTACTTAAAAAAAAATTATACTATCAGCTTATTCTAAAAATACTGTCCTATGGATGGAACCCAGGCCTCATATATGCTAGGCAAGCACTATACCAGTGAGCTACACTTACAGTCCCTGTCTTTAAAATTAATGGCTGGGTAACATTTTCTGAGTTTATTACTTATATTAGCATAGTTCCAAGAAAGATCTGAGGCAGCTTACTAAAAGACTATGAAGCAAACGAAAAAATCCCGACATGATAAATTGCAGCAAACACAAAAAAAGGTCAGGAAAACAAGCTCCAAACGATGAGAGAAATAAGTATAGGATCCACCAACAGTGTCCAGGTGAAAGCAAAGTCACAAGACTTAATTCAAAAGCCAGCTGTGGGTGCAGGGCGCACACCTGTAATCCTAGCACTCTGGGAGGCCGAGGCAGGAGAAGTTTGAATCTGAACCCAAATGGGGCAACTTAGGAGAATCTCATGTCTACTTTTGTTTATTTATTTATTTATTTTTGGTACTGGGGATTGAACTCATGATCTCATGCTTGCCAAGCAGACACTTACACTGCTGAGCTAAACTCTCAGCCCAAGAATCTTTCAAAATATAAAAAAAGAGCTGGGCATGGTGGTGCACGCCTGTAATCCTAGCCCTCAGGAGGCAGAGGCAGGACTGCTGTGAGTTTGAGCCCAGCCTGGGATACACAGTGAGTTCAAGGCTAGTCTGCACTACAGAGTGACACCCTAGCTCCCCACCATAAAAAAATATATAAATAAATAAATAAAAAGGTTTTCCCATCCCTTGAAATTGGCTAAAAAATGCAAAGAGGATCGTCCTTATCTACTTCCAGATACGGTGAACACGTCCTAGTAATATAAAGGGAAACAGCACCCCAGCAGCTGCTGGCTCTGATGTATGGATGCTGACAGAAGCAGTTGCCTAGAGTATTAAAATTAACACAGCCTTCCTTAGCCTCTAGAGAAAAAGAGAACACCTTCCCAACTCTGCTGTAGCCAGGACTTCTTCCAGGGAAACGATCTCAAACGGAAAATGCTCGGTGGTAAACTAAACACGATTGGCAGTAACCGACGCTGGACAGCCAGCAGAGCACCCAGACCGCCCGGTGTTCCTGGTGGCACCGTGAACAGTGAAATCGCTTCAGAATCCGGCCGCTCCCTCCTCTGCCTTCCTGTTTTTGCAGTGTGTACTGGGAATGAAACCTAGGGCCAAATTTTGTGCTGTTAAACTTGAAAATGCAAACTTGGCCTCCGCATGGAGCAGGACGCGTCAGAAATGTCCTGAACACAGTTAGCTCCTTTGACAGAGCTGCATTTTCAGGGCTAAGGTGGTAACGTCAGGGAGGAACCTGTAAAGACTCAGTGATTCAGGTGAATCACTAGGAAATAGAGCCTCACAGTCTACGCCAAGGAGTTATCACTTCACATGCACGCTGCTGTCCCATTAAAGACGATGACCCTGTAGTACTGAATGCAGCAGATGGCTCGCAGCTAATCACCTGACTAGGGGACATGGGCTGGGAAGAAGTGAGCGTGTACGTCACACCTGGGATCATCCAACACAGCCCAAGAACACTGGGGAGTGCTGTACTCTAACCCTGGACACTTACTTGATGATGGGCGGCAGTGAATCAAGCCTGGTCTCCGGGCTCCAGGCTAAGCCATCGAGCCTCACGCCATGGTGGAACGTTCGCAGCGTTTTATACTGAATGCCATCGATGTCTGCCTCTTCTTCCTACGCGTACACAGTAAGTGCTGTTTTAGGGGTGTCAGTGTATCACTCTGAATTACAGCATAATGAAGAAATCATCAGAAGTCATGCACCTCGGTTCAAAAGCAAATCAGAATTAAAAAAAAAAAAAAAAAAGAAACTGAAGGTTGTGTAAGCTTCACAAAATCTCTAGGGTAGCTGAACCCAGAGACTACGCACACAACAGCTTTCCTCACCAGACAGTTTCCTTTTAAAGGCAAATGTGTTTGCAACAGTCAGGAAGCCGGGAGGTTGCGCTCAACAGGCTCCAAGACGGACATCTCACCGCTGTGATCCGTGAGCAATGCCCAGGCAAGGTAAGTTGGTCTCAGAGTCTGATTCTGCCTACAAATGCCTAACGGTCACCTTGTTCACCTAGCTCAGCCCTTTTAAGACGATTTCTGTGAATCCTCATGAAAAGATAAGGAGAAACATTTCAAAGTTCAGTCGTTTCTCTCTGCAATGTAGACGTTAACCAAAGCAGCTCTCCTACAACAATGGGAAAATCAAATCCGGAGAAGCAGCTGGGCGCCAGGGCCTTGGCCCACACCGAGGGACAGAGCTCAGTGCTGCACGTGAGGCGGACTTACCAGAGACCTGACCCACCCAGGGCCCTTACGGGGGACCGCAGGTGTGGGGGGTGGGGAAGGCTCGTACAAAACAGGTGAAGGCCGGGGCCAAGAGCAGCTGTGGAAAGGCTCAACTGGGTGCTGGGCCTAGCAGGAGTGTGAGCTCCAATTCAGAGTCCAGACAGTGACAAAGAACTTATTTCAAAGAGGTGATATGCTGGGGCAGGCCGCAGGCACGTGACAGTAATAAAGACAGTCCACCTCCAGGCGAACCACCGCGACCCGGGCCGCGGAATCTCCAGACACAGTTCAACCCAACTCGGGCTCTCAGATGGGTGAGGTGGCACATGCCTGTAATCCCAGCACCCAGGAGGCTGAGGCAGGAGCATCGCTCTGAGTTTGAGGCTACAAAGTGAGCTCAAGGCCAGCCTGAACTGCACAGAGAGACCCTATCTCAAAAAGAGAAAAAAAAAAGACAGAAAGAAAAAGAAAAAAAGTGCCACAAACCACAACAAGCAGCAGAATCAAACTTACAAAAACATCAGCTATTAAAAGATACAGGTTTAAGGGTATAAGAGAGGCAACAAGAGATTACTAACAACAACCAAGCAATTTTAAAATGAATTATAATCGATCAGCACAATTCTAGTACAAAAAGACACACTGACTAAGAGTAACACGTTAGAACATCCAGGAGTAAACCCACACGTTTATAGGCAACTGATTTTTGATAAAGGTCCCAAGATATACACAAGGAAAGAGCAGTAAACAGAACTGGAAAAGCTGGACACTCACATGTGCGAGGAGGAAACTGAATCTTTCCCTCACACCACATGCAAACACAGTGGGTTCAAACAAAAAGGAAAATGAGAAGGAAAATACCGGACAGCGACAAATCCGGAGCAGGGACAGATCGAATGGCAGTGGTCCCCATGTTACGCACAAAGAAAGTTAAAAGATGTTAACTGCTATACTAATGAAATGTAGCATCCCAGTGTTTTTGGCCATCCTTCAAAAAATGAGAAATAGCACAAAAACCTCCCAAAGAGGAAAAAAATAAAAGGAAGTACAGAATCAGGCTGAAAACATGCATGTCAATAATGTTTTTAACACTGGAAAACTTAAAAGAGTAACCCAAATACCTAGCAATACATGAGTGGTAAGCGGGGATGCAGTCCTAGCGCACCATGCACGCTCCAACAGGCCAGCATCTGACGATACGCTGTTAAGCAACAGTGCAAAGCACAGGAGAACACAACAAAGAACGGTATCACTGATGGGAAATTTAAAACACGAGAAACAACACAGTATTTGGTTTGGAATCCCTACACATAATCCTAACACTGTGAACAAACACAGAGGGTCAGAAGCACAGGATTTCCTACACGGCTGGCTGAAGGAATCCCAGGGGTGTTGAGAGAACCCCTAATGTCCTACTCCTTAGACGAGACGGCAGAAACACAGATTCATTTTATTTTATTTTTCATGTCTCATGCACATCCTTCCGTATGTAGCATACTTAAGAGAACCTTTGAAGTTAAACTTCAGGTGAATTTAGATCTAACAGCAAAAAAATTTTTCCATAAAAACAACAGAAATACTTACCAACGAAAGGAAAACGCTGCCACACTGTACTACTTCCTAATGCGTGGGGACCACAGCTGCACACCCAATACAGGGGTGCCTTGGTTCACCAACTGAATCTGTTTTACTATCTGGGGGAAGACGGCGGGGTTGTGTTTGGCACCTGTCTTAGTGCTAGTGAACCCAAGTGGAATTCTTCTGAATGTTCCTCCGTTTTGAAGCATTCGTGTTCCGAGGCATCACCGAGGCTGGATATGCCAGTGCGGCAACCCCAGAGCCATCTTAAAACATGCTTAGCCTGCTACGAAGAGCTGACGTGAAGGTTTGGGTTACATCTACTTTCCACACTTGACAATCCCTCTATCAAAAATGGAGCTTTCACATAAAAAGACACACTATTATAGTACTGTAACAGTGGCAAAAATTAGCTTCAGTATTTGTTACTCAAATCATCGTGGAATTCTTTTTTTTGGTACTGAGCATCAAACCCAGGACCTTGTGCTTGCCAGACAGGCGCTTATGCTGCTGAGCTACATCCCTGGCTTCACTGGGCAGTCACAAGGATAATAGCCCGAGCTTTGTGTGCCACTGGTGAAACCTCTTTCCTGGCAGCGCTGCCCGTCACTGGGCTGAGAAAAGGGCAGAGTGTGCACAGCACAGGCAGTGATGAGAGCCCCTGTGGGTGCAGGAGGGCAGCCGGGCAGTGCTGCAGGCAGGACCCAGAATCTGCCTCACTGGAGGCTCCTGCAGCCTGAGGCTCCAGCCGAGGGAAGGCTGTGCTAAGGGGCTTCCCACCACACCCACTGAGGCCACAGGCAGTTTTAATCAGGCAGGCTGCGTTTATCTAGCCCAATTCCTTCACCTTTAGAACACCTGAAAAAGATTGCTCAACCCTTGGTCTCAATCACAGGACACTTGATGACCCTAATGTGCTAGTTCAGCTGGAGTCAGGACAAGGGTCAGACCTGAGTTGGAAACGCCTCCCCTACCTAATGGACAGTGTGGGGTTGCTTAAGAGTGCTTGAGTTTACTCAGGCTAACAGCCTGACACCTTTCACCCTCATGCCTCCTTAGAGTAAATATCAATACATAGCAAACCGGTGTAGCTTTATACACAGCGTAAAGTGCTCAACTGCATTTTGATGTCAAAATTATCTTTCTTCTTTTGGTGTTTTTGAGACAAGGTTTTGCTATGTAGTTCAGGCTGGCCTCAAACTTGCAGTAATCTTCCTGCCTCAGCCTCCTAAGTGTTGGTACTGCAGGGACACACCATGCCCAGCCAAGACTACTACCTCCTATGTATAAAAGAGCAAATCATGTTACTAATAATGTATCACTTTAATTCAGTAATAGTTACTTTAAATCTTTAAACACTGGCCATTGGTAAATTATATCAATTGATTCTAATCTGAGAAATAAGATTGTATGATCGATATTCTGGTATAATAGGATTAAAAAAGAGACTCAAGTGGGTCCAAGTGTCACTGCTCAGACTGTCACAAGCAGGCTGGCTTCCCTGTGAGCAAACCTGGGACCTGCTCACTACGAAGCAATGGGCTATGACTGCCAGCATGGCCCAGGCCACTGACAATCAAAATACACTATGACTGCACATGTGCCTTCTACGGTCTTACGTATACTGACACCGCAGCCACCTAAAACCCTATTAAGCGTTACTTTCCTTGTGTTTACAGAAGAGAGGCTAGGTACCTGCTCAAGGTTGCGTAGTTATGAAGAGCTATGGCCTCGCAAAAGTAAACCCCTAAGCATCCTGTCCCCAGAATTCAAGGGCAGTACAGAATGTCCCACACAGCTCTTTTGATCCTAGTTTACATATTCTAGATATGTACTCAAAATATACGGCAGGTTTAACAGGAAAGCCAAGTATCATTAGAGCTGAAATGGTCCTGTAGATCAGTATCAGTATCACCAGCTCCCTATGCCAAAGCAGAAAAGTTGCAATGGATCCAATTGCATTGGTATTTCCTCTGCACATCGCCTTTAATCATCAGGATACCCATTTCTAATCATGAAGCCAAAGAGCACTTTCACCATCTACACTGTTTGCACAGATCTCCAGGGTATGTTACTGGGCAGCTCTTTCTCTGGATCTTTGCATCATTTCTTAACAATCAAACTCGGTATTTTTAAAGTTTAGCTTTGGCTTGTATAAATTTCCTATCAGTGAAATACCTTCACTGTCATTCAGTGCCCTTGCAGACTAACCTGAAATGTACATATGCCGATCACCACGTAATTATTGCCACCATATGCAATTAGGTTTCCTGAATCCCCACTCTCAAAGGGATTAAATTCTACCACATGCACAAAATCTTCACAATCCACAGTGTATGCAGGATTCCTTGTGGCGTCTTGCTTCATTTTGTAGGTCAAACTCGAGCAGCTCTTAAGAATAAGTCTTCCACTGGACAACTTCAAGGAACTGTGGAATACAGCAGATACAACAGAAACAGGCATACAAGGCTAAACTGTCAAGGTCTAACATGGCCTCTGGAAGCAGCATCCCTATGTGAGATTCACGAATTTTAGTGATTATTGTTATTATCTGCCAGACGCAAGAGCAGTCCAGAAAGCGGCTGGGTTCAGGGACGAAAATGAGTAAGCAGCGTCTTACTAAACTAAACCCCAGGTTTCGGGGCTTCTTAAATTGATGACCTTGACCCGGGGCTGGGCATGGGAGACGCCCAATGTAGCAGAGTGAGGTGGGAGTGCGAAACCCGAGGAGAGGGGATTCAGGGCCCGCCCTCCCCTCCGTGCTCTGCAGCCGGAGTCCCAGCACTCACAGGGCCGGACTTTCTTCCCTAAAGCCGCCTGAGCAGGGAAGGTGAGGTCCCAGAAATGAGCCCCGACGCCTCTCCCAGAGCAGGGGCGCCTTGAGATCACCTGCTCGCCCCTCCCTTGGTCCTAACTCAACGGGAAGAAGTCTCGCGGACAGGCTACGACCCGCGGGACGCCACGCGCAATACGAACCGAGGCCGCGGGGAAGCGACCCGCAGAAATGCTCTCTCCACGCGGCTGCCGGGAGCGCGCCGGCTCTACTTCCGGGTCAGAGGGCGCGCGCGGCGATTGGCTGCCAAGTCTCAGCGCGAGATTTGAAATGTCAGCCGCGGTCAGTGGAGCAGCCGGCGAACAGCTGCGCTGCTGGACGTCAGCTCGCTGGGCTCTGCGCTTCCCGGGCCTCCGCGCGGCCAGGTGAGTCTTTCTCTCTCTCTCTCCTTCTCTCCTGCCTGTCGCGCTTTGACTATTGATCCACGCTCGCGAGGCGTCCCGAGCGGCAGGACACCAGGGCAGACCCGACCTGCGCGGACCCTGATCCCACAGCTTCTCAAGTGAGATCCGCGGGACCCTTGGGACTTGCACTCGTCACCTGACAGTGACAGTATCGATTGCCACTTTTTACTGAGCCTACCAAGTGCCCAGCGCCCGGAGAGTTGTATACTTGTTTCACCAATGTCTCATGATTCTTTTTTTCGGTTTTATTTTTATTTGTCCATATTTACGGTACATAATGATTGCGTTCCTCGTGGGGGAGTTGGCCCATGTACATAAACACATCTCAATTCTTTTTCCGACCTCGTTTCCTTCCCGCTCTTTCCATCGTTTGGTCACCTTTCCTTTTGCAAAGTCATCATTCTGTTGGATAGAAATTATCTTCTCCGTTGTACAGAGGAAGAAATGTATGCTCACCAGACGTTTTAAATACCAAAGGACTTGCAGATAATGGTGGATGTGAATCTTGAACTGAATCGGAAGTATTCACTGCACATTGCCTGCCAGTGAAAGTTTTCTTTCTGTTTGACAGTTTTTGCACAACTGTAGCTTCTGTGTTTACAATTTTTGGCCCCAAACTGGCTCCTTTTCCCTCTTGGAATTCGGGAGCCAGTAACAGGATTGAAGGAGGTTGAATCTTGAAGGAGAGTTTTATTCTTGACCAGGAATAGGAAAATTGGGAGATAAAGCCATAGATCAACTTCTAGGCCCTTGGGGATCAGTAGATTATAGATATGGGGTACAAGGAAAGAGAGACAGTGTGAATCTATAAAGGAGAGGAATATTCATGCCTTTTCGAGGGGTGACCTGAGCTTTTCTCGAAGATTAAATGCCTATCCTTTTGCTCCTTTATGGTTCTTTCCTACTGTTATGGCGTTTGTCCTTTGTCTTGGCCCTGGGGGGGGGTGTGTTGTTTAGCTTGCAAGTGGGGTTATAATGGAGTCAGAGGGTGTGTGGTGGTCACTCTGGCAGCTTAGATCAACTGGGTTCAGCCAGCTCACCTGAACAGTCATTCTGTGCTCAAGATAAACAAGAAAGGGCAGTTGTTCCGCTACATCACCTGGGCAGTGCCAGGTTAAAAAGTTTGGAATCCAGTTTTGAAAAGCAAGTGCTTATTACTGTTTCTGTTTTCTATGGCTGTTTTGTCCAGTACAACCTGCCATTCAGAGCGCCTGCATCTTCAGTGTTACCTGGGGTCCTCACACCTGGCTGGCAGGTGAGTAGAAGGGATGGACAATGTCCTGTTCTTTCTGGTGAGCTCTCACTCTGGGCAGCCAGGTGTAACGGTTATGGCTTCCACAATCGCTGGGAGAGTGAACGGAACAACGAACTGGGACTGGACCAGAGATTCATAGACTACCTGTGCTGCCCATTGTACTGCCGCTCCTGAGCTCAGGATGGATTTTACTCTTTACATGAATAATTGGTAAGAAATTAAAAGAAGAATAGTTTTATGATACACAGAAATAATATGAAATACAATTTTTGGTGTCCACAAGTAAAATTTTATTGAAGCCCAGCTATCTGTGCTCATTTGTTTGTGAATTATGCTCTGCTGTTTTCACTCTATGAGGTCAAGTTGAGTATGTGAGTTAAGACACAGATTGTGTGGCCCACATGTCTTAAATAATTACCATTTGTCCCTTTTCCAAATCTCTGCTGAGCCCTAGATGAGACTCTTGGTTTCCTATCTCCAATCGTGTTACTCTTTGTACTACTCACTTTCCTGTGGGTGGGACAAATAATCCAATACCTACAGCTTAAACGTGGGAGGTTTAATTTGGTTCATGTTTCAGGGAATTCAGTCCATGGCTGGCTGCCTCCAAAGCACAGATGGCATGGCAGAGGAAAGCACCTCATTGCATTGCAGCCAGGAAACAGAAAGAAGGAAAAGAAAAGTCAGGGAAAAAAGAGTTATTTAGCTCACAGTTTGTGGAGGTTTCAGTCCATAATCAGCTGGTTCCAAGGCAGGGTGGCACATGGCAGAGGGGCAACAGTTCATGGCAGCAGAATGCAGGAAACGCAACAAGAGCAAAAAGGGGGAAAGTGGATGGAGGCTCTTTCTGTCCGTTACATTATATACAGGCCATGCCCATAGGCCCAACATTGGACCATGCATTATTCACAAACTCTAGAAGCCTGCCCCCATGACTGCTTGAGGTTTTGGGGGGACACCAGACACAAACCATAACACACTCCTTTATCCAGTTACTTCCAAAAGACTCACTTCTGAATATCTGAGACTTTGGAGACAGTTTAGATCTGAACCATAGCATACATTCAATTTTAACTCAAAACGTCATGGATGGTGGTAGCTAATGTGCTCCATCATGTACCAGCCACTGCTTTAATTAATGTCTTACGTTTCTGCTTCTCCTCTGTGGCTTAGGATCTATTTTTTAATTTCAATACAAGCAAGCTGAGAAAGACGCAAATGATATAACTTTTCCAAGATTTCATAGCTGTTAGTGATTGAGTCAGGGTTCGTAATGATTAGTTCTAGATGGGCTTTCATTTATAGCAATTAAACTCTTTTTTTTTTGGTACTGGGAACTGAACTCAGGACCTTGTGCTTGCCACAGTGTAGGCACTGTGCCTCTGAGCTGCATCCCTGCCCCTTGTGATCTGAACTCTTTTTTTTTTTTTTTGTCTTTTTCCTTTTTATAGGTACCGGGGATCGAACTCACGACTGCCTGCTTGCAAGGCAGGCACTTATGCCGCTGAGCTAAATCCCCAGCCCCTGATCTAACCTCTTAATACCTTTATTTATTTATTTAAAAAAAATTTTTTTTTATGCTCTTAAATTTCTTGAGATCTTAATACCTTTAAATGATAGCAGTAAATAATCTGCTACAAATGTATTCTAATCTTATCACTGAAGCTGTTACTTTACTTTTTCACTTCTTTTTTTTCTTTTCTTTTGAGAAAATGTAGTAAGAGAAACATCATGCTTAGGTATTTATGAGAGTTACTGTTCATGGTTTCCTAGCTGTTCCTTTAAGTGTGTCACAGATTATGGCCATAGTATCTTATTGGAAATGGCATATGTCATTTTTCTTGAACAAACTGGGACTCCGTTCATTCTACATCAAAACAGAAGAAAAGGATTAGAAGAGGGGTGATTGTGAATGAGAAACATCACATGGGCATGTGACCGTGTTGGAGAGACCAGTAGCTAAAAGAAAGTAGGTAAAAACCTACCAGGATGTTTATAAAATCAGAGAAAGTGGCCACCTTGTATGGACTCCGTGTATAAAACGTTGATCCTTCCAGGTGTGGTGGTGCAGGCCTGTAATCCCAGCACTCTGGAGGCTGAGGCAGGAGGATTGCCCGGAGTTTGAGGCCAGCCTGGGCTCCCTAAGCAAGTTCAAGGCCAGCCTGAACTACACAGCCAAAACCTTACAAAAAACAAAAAAATCAATTATTTTGAAAAGGCTTTTGTCTATATTAGAAGTTATGAAATAGATGGATCTCTGAGTACATCTTATGAGCTTAGAAATCTTAGATTAATCTCTGGCCATAATTAGTGGAATGACCTAGGGTTATTTTCCCGAGGTACCAAGTGAAGATAGTGATACCCCTGCTTCAATAGGATGGTTATTTTTTTTGAGATAGGATCTCTCTATGTAGTTCAGGGTTTTTTTTTTTTTTTTAATGTTCTAAAAAGTCTTTAATTCTTATGTACCAGATTCATGAAGAATATAAGAAAAATACACTTTAATAATAATGGAATTTATTTGTGGATGTACAATATATATATGAATACTTGAATTATTTTTTAAAATTTAAGTATCTTTGATATGAAAATTAAGAATAAGGAAAAGTAAGTTTATTTTAGCAGTATTGCCTGTTAATAAATTAGGTACATATTAAGTCCGTGAAGTTCAACCATTAAATCTACATCGGCTGGTGGCTTTCACTTTAAAGAGAAGACCAGAATCAAAACCTCTGAACTTTTCAACCTGACAGGATCAATGCAGAGCTGTAATTGTTTGTACTATCAATATAGCAAACACTATTCTAACAATCTACACAAAAACACAACAAATGTCTACTATCTCAATTTCAGTTTATAAACTTGTTTTATGATTTTGGGGAAGATGGCCATGGTCCTGTTTGTCACATGAAGCAGAGTGTGTGAACAGAAGCAAGATTTGCTGAATGCTTTTGTTCGCAAATCAAACTGCTTGCAAACAAGCATTCAGGAGCTGCAGTGTTTCGGTGTACACCGTGCAGTGTGCAGGCTCAAATGCCGGTGATGGTCACTTAAAATTAAACTGATGGACTGCTAGCGAGTAGGGTGAACTGAACCTCTGGGAAATTCTCTAACAGTCATTGGGAATACTTTCTGAAAGACAGAGAAGGCACTGTTTTACAGAGCTTTACAAATCATCTCCCATGGTGCTTTCAACTGTCGCAGAGCCGTAAGTCAAAGACTCAGGTAATTTCAAATCACTGATATTAGGCAAAAATTCTCGTGTTACCATTTCTAATGTTCTACACATCAGCTTACAACCGAAGACAGCTGTGACCAGTCGCAGCCCCTCTGGTTCATGAACAGTGCAGGTATCAGGGCCACCCAGGTTTCTATGCCACCAGCAAGTATGGCTCCCCCTGAGCTCACTCTGTGATGGATCATTGAGATATCTTCAAACCCAATAGTCTGGTCATCACCCCCCAAAATACCCTGTGAAAAGTTTGAGCTTGAAAGACAAGGAGGACACCGCGCCTGCTGTACTGCCTTGAATTCCATGTGTGATTTGAGAGGAGCAAAGAGACCCTGGATATTCCTCAGTGTGGAAAGATTCACTTTATCTTGGTTGAGCTAGAATTTTTTTTTCTGATAATTCAAGAGCGTGACTTGGTAACAGTTCATTTTTCACACAAGGAAAACCTTTCCGAAGAAGGTCGTGACATTCCAAAGGCCCACTTGCTGAGAGTTCAGGAACTGGAATGCTTGCTGTCCTTTAGCTGAGACCCAAGTCCTCTGGATCATCTTCAGCCGATCTTGAACACGGTCTGGTTACAATCAGCTGGCCCTCATTCAGGCTGGTCTTGAACTCACTAGTAGCCCAGGCTGGCCTAAAACTTGAGGCGATCCTCCTGCCTCAGCCTTCTAAGTGCTGGGATCGCAGGTGTACACCACCATGCCTGGCTATTTTGTTTACCTTTCGCTGTGTAATGAGCCACCTCAACACCTAGTAATATTAAACAGTGACTGGTTTATTGGCTTATGATTCTGTAGGTCAGGAACTGGAGCTGGACTCAGCCAGCTGATTCTGCTGGTTTTGCTTGGGCTCGCTCATGTTGCTGAAATCCATCTGGCAGGTTGAGTGGCGCTGGATGGCAAGGTGGTCTTCTCCCAGGACAGGTCTGGGCTTTGTATCAATTGCATCTGAGTGCCCTGGCTCACCTTTGAGATCATGTCCAGCAGCATGGCTTGGACTTCTTCCTACAGCAGTCTCACAGCAGCAAGAGTGAGAGCCCATGCTTTCAGGCCTTGGGTTCAGAAGCTCCCAGGTCACCCCCAGATTATACTATTGGCTAGGAGGATTCAAAGATTATTACAGCAGAAGGGGACAAAGCGACATAAGCAAAGGAAAGCGTCCACGGGAGGCCTGGATCATACTTCTCCAAGTCTCGTCCTGGTTGGGTCACGCAGGGCAGGCAGAATTCTCCCAGTGACAGGATGTCACCACCCAGGTGTGGCGCTCTGTGCCAGGGAAGCTTCTGAGACTGAGTGCCAGCCCAGGTCTGCTCCGTCCGGCTTGTACCAACATTCCGGACTCAGAAGGAAATCAGAGGTCAAGAGAACTGTATTGTTTGTGCAAACAGTTCAACACTGGGAGCTGCTCATTAGAAACCTTCTGGATTTTAAATTCAGGAGGTGAGCTCTCTTTGGCACAAATCTCAGGGACTGCTTCAGAATTCCCTGTATATCTTTTTTTTTTATTATTATTTTTTTGAAGATAGTGAAATACAACAAAACAAAACAGAACAAAGCCAATTGAGACAGTGTAGTGAAATTGGTACAGAATGTCACAGCAGGTTATTGGGATAACAGTAATAGGTGCCATAGTATATCTTGTTATCTTCACAATCAGGTACAGCAAAATCAAACCAGATACAGAACATTATAGAACTTATCAAAACAGAATATTGAATAGAGCAATACCATTAATCAGAACAAAAGCAAAACAGTGACAACAATATTTGCCTTCAAAGAGATGGTAGAAGGAAGTTCCCCCTATTGCTATATGTGTAAGGCCAACCTCCCGAGAGATGCTCAGACCTCTGGCTCCCATTTGCTAACTGTGGGGCGATGGGATGTTTGATTCTCAGCCCCTGCCCTGTAGGCTCATGGCTGCTTACCGGGGGTGGGGGGGTGGAGGGGGGTGGGGGGGTGGGGGGGGTGGTGGTGGTGTATTCTAAGTTCCAACATGGCGCGGATCTCGGGAGACACTGGATGGTTCTCCCCTGGGGCAGCTGGCCGCCGCTTGCCTGAGCAATGGCTCAGGAAGGTGCCCTGAAGGTTTTTCTTTTTAGATCCTATTGGTCAAGTCGAGTCACAAGACTGGTGTAGATTCAAAGGGTTGGAAAAATAGACTGATTTTGGCACAATTTAGAGATGGAAAGAAATAAGCTTTTTTTTAAAACACTCTACTACAGATTGGATCGTCTACCTCAAAACAAATATTATTTCAGTCCAGCTTTAATCATTTCTGTCTGTTCTATAATTACAAGCCTGCAAAATTTGCACGTCTGTTTTGTGTGAAGTTTCAGAACAGAGGTTGGGTTTTGTTATTTTAAAAGATTCGGCTTAAGAAAATTAAGGAGAGGAAACCACGATTGGGCAGAGATTGTATTTTCCTGTTTCCCTAAACGTAATTAAAAGCAAGCTTGGTAAAGCCGAGACGACCCCTCGCTCAGGACTGGTTCTTCTCGAAGTGTGTTTGACTGGGTGCGGTTACTGCAGGGCAGAGGCCCTTGAACGCTGTGCTCCGTCCCGCTTTCAGGGCATGGCTGTGCTCAATCCGAAGCCCGTGCTGGCGATGATTAGGGCGTTCAGGAGGAACTGGCGAGCCCTCGGCAGCCCCGAGAGAACGACTGTCTGCGGAGTGGACTCCATGCTCCTGGCGCTGCAGCTGGCCATGGCAGAGAACAATCGCTTGGTGAGTACTCAGCTTCACTTTTTTATTTTAAGTCCAGTTGTGGTTGCTGCCTGTTTCAACGTACTTACGAACGTTACTTTCAATATTTGCCTTCCTATAATACACAGTTTTTCAAAGTGTGTCTGTATATCTGGGTCAGGTTACTGCCACTGCATTTGAAAAAGTTTGTTTCAAAATCAAGGCCTTCGTGTGTACATGTACATGGGAGGTTTCCCGGGAAGTCTAAAACATGCAACTACTATAGTTATTCCTATATGCAACGATTAGATTTAACAAGTATTCTTTCATTCCCTAAAGGAAGTCATACAAGGCACAGTGATTTTTATTTAAATATAGTCATAAAGTGTCAGTCTAACTTCAGACTCCAGAGTATACATTATGCCCGGGTCAGGCTGTGTATCAGTAGCATGGAGAAGAATTTTTCAAAAACACTAATGTTGTGCTCCAGTCTTACAAATTCCGGTTCTCCTGAAGTGCACGGACATGCTGGAAAGTGTCTTTCAAAAATCCCCCAACGTGGGGCTGGCGATGCAGTTCAGTGGGAAAGCACTTGCCCAGCATTGCGAGGCCCGAGTTCATTGAAAACAACAAGCAATACAAAACAAAAAAACCTCTGCAGAGTGTGTCTTTCATGAGTAGCTTGCGCCAAGCTAGCCCAGGGGCGAGAGGGAGTCACGAGGGTGAATGCAGGGCTGAGTGGGAGGAGGGGGGGGTCTTGATTTCAGAATGATTCTGCATGAAGGAAGGGAAGGATTTGGAGGCAGGATGAAGGAAAGGGGAAGGCAGGTCACAGGAGGGTGCAGAGCCGCAGAACCGCTGTGGGAAGCGGATAAACGCCGGCTTAGCTGCAGAGCAGGACTTCCGAAGGGGAGGATTCCTGTTACTGAGAGTCTGCTGGGCTAAAGATATTCTGATAATTATTTTATGTCAGTAGTTTCCAGACTTTTATACTTGATAGACTAGTAAAATTTCTTTAAAAAATATTAGATAGATTGGACCTGTTCACATTTTGGCAAGTAAAGCCACTGAGAAAAAAAACATAGTTATTGTATATTGCAACCATCATTTTGAAAAAGCAAGAGTATTTTTAATGCCCCCAAACTAGAAAGTTTATACTCTTGGGACAAGGGATATTCTTTCCTATGCATTAATAATTGGGAATTTTGCATATTTGAAACAAGGTGAGATGAAATTTTGGACATAGAAAAATTTGGCAATTTTTAAATCTAATTTTACACAGCAGACCCTCTTTAAAATACTGATTAAGTTTTTTCTGTGTGTTAGTAAACTCTGGGGATACAGCAGTGAGGAAAATCTTGTGCTCGGGAAGTTAATCTTCCAGGGGGAGACACGGACATTACCCTAATAAATCAGATAGGCTGTGTTTTAGGTCTTAGCAGATACTCTGGAGAAAAATAAAACAAAGATACCACCAAAGACCATCTAGAGGGTGAACTAGGTCTTGCAATTTGCAGTACCATCAAGAAAAGTGTCGTGGAGCAGGTGCCGTCTTAGTCAAGATTTGAAAGACAGGAAGGAAGTAGCCATGGGGCCTTTGGAGGGAGGGAATGACCAGGCAAAGAGGACAGCAGCAGTGAGGTCCCTGAGGTCGGAAATGTGCCTGGCATGTTCAGCGAACAGCAAAGAGGCTAACAGAGCTGTTCTGTAAATGCCAGCTTCCTCCACCCGCCTCCCTGCACCCCCATCCTGCACCGCCTCCCTATTTATACTGGGCATCATAGGGAGTGCGGGGCTGACATGGTGAGCAGAACGACTCTGGTCTCTGTCTTCAGGCGGCTCAGCACCGAGGAGCCGGAGGGCGGAGAAGCACATGGATACTCACGGTAGCTCTGGGAGAGTATGGTGCTCTGTGAGCAGCTGGCTGACTGGGTGAGAGAGGTGAGCTGGGCAGAGACACGTGGGACAGGAAAGAATGGAGGTCCCAAGGTGGGGAAACAGCCAGCCGTCTCTTCTGTCAGGTCCTTGGTTTTAATCAGAGCTCTTGCTAGAAATCAGTTTTACGTGGGCATCTTGACAAAACAAGAAAGTACCTCTTTAACGTATTATTTTGAAAACCCGTTTCCACAAATGTTGCAGGAATAAAATGCTGATTCCTGTGCACCTTTGATGGGGATTCACCAGTTGTCAGCATCCTGCCACATTTGCATATCATTTTCCTTTTTATAGTTATGTGTGTATCTAAATGCACATAAGTATGTTTACGGTACGAATACAGCTACAGCAGCATGCGTCCTTTTCTGTATGGATGACCTGAGAGTAGCAGACAGCTGGAGCCTTTGAGTCCCTAAACACTTGAGCTTGCATCTCTCACATGCACTCCAACTCTCTTCTAAAACCCTGGCAGACTTGTTAAATCCAGGATGTGTAAGGGTGGTGGTACTTTAACATGGGCTCTGCAGTCAGAGCTCACTCGCGGTCCGAGGCCACGATCATGAACTAGTGTTAGCTGGCCTCTCTGTAGTCTACCATGAGCCGGGCTTTTTGTCTTTCATACTGTCATGGCTTGTGTCTAGATGTCCCCGCAAAGTCTTGGGCACTCATAGGTGGGCTTTGCAGAGCTGGGTCTATGGTGTGTGATGCTGGTATTAAGGGTGTGTGGTACTAAATCAGTTCACTGATTGAAATTAGCGAGGTACTGGGAGTGCATAATGGAACTCCTGCCCCAGGGGGTGGTGGCACCAATCACTGGGCTTCTAGCCTGGATGCAGTATAAAGGGGCAGAAGGGAGGCAGGCTTGCTGCACGGAGCTTGGTGCTGTGTTGCTGCTTCCTGATTGCCTCGCCATGGGCTGTTTCTCTTCTGCAGTGCCCTTCTGCTGTGAAACCTCTACAAACTGTGAGCCGAAATTAACCTTTCCTTCTTTAACTTCGGGTGTCCAGTAGTTTATCACAGCAATGATTAAAGTGGCTAAGGCAATGACCTACGTTTCCAAGAGGACAAGTCACTGATTTTATAGGGTGTCCCCTCAAGATGAGTTGTTTTGTTGTTACTTTGCTTATCATTAGGCATTTTGGGCAGAAACAGTTATAAATGATGTGTTCTTCAATCGGTTGCTTTGGGAGGAGCCTGGTGTCATTTAGGTCCATTATTGGTGATGATCAGCTCTTACTGGATTAAAGCCAGTTGAGTTAAGTCTGACTGATTTCTTCAGTAGGAATCTGCCAGGCAAAGGCTGGCTGGTTGTTTGATGATGAAGTTGATTGGTTGTTAAGAAGAAAGTCATAATTAGGAAGGATGCTCTGTATCACTTGAAGGGCCTAGAGAATAGTTTGTCATAAAAAGAAAATGAAGACAGGAAAAGTAGTGTTTTACCTTGTAGGAGAAGACAATGGGGGGCGGGTAAGGAAATTAAGTTTGAAACAATGATAGAATTCATGTTACAAATGTTTGTACTCTTTATCAGAGGTGTTATTCCTTGGTAACATTCTAATAACTGTCAGTCTTTATAGCAGGTATTACATCTCTTTTTCCTGTATTATTCCACTCACTATCAGTTTTCTGAATCAAAATAAGAATAAAAACTCAGCTGTTTGTATGCATTTAGTCATGGGAATTTCAGGAAAACTCTGAATTGCTTTAAAAAATAAACTTAAGAAAAGTACTTGTCTCTAAACTAAAGGAAGAACTAAAGCAAAGCTATGAAAAAGTAGCTCAGAGAAGAAAGATTTTTGTTCTTAAATTCAAAGTCATGAAATGGTTCATTAGTTCCAAGAGTAAATTATTTGCTTTACAAAACTTAATTTTTATAAGTCAGCCTTTCAGATTTGGAATCTAGTCTACCAAAGAAACAGTAATAAGAGTGACGATTGGCTTCTCAATTTTAAATCTGTAATTTAGATGAAATAGTTCATGCTTGTGATGAGAGATTAACGGAAACAACGCTGTCATGACAGTGCTGATTTAGCAGAGTACGAAGTTGTCTTTTTAAGTTATTTTGTGATCTGTTTGACAGGAAGCAGGTTTAGGGGAAGATGACTTAGGTCAGACATTTGTTGGGATTTTGAAGTAGATATTTGAGCACTTTAACGCTGAAAGGCATGGATTCCTTTTCTCACTTTAAAAAATGTTAAAATTAACAGTTTACCAGGCATGTAGTTAGTGTAAGAAGTCCGTGTCGGTAAGGCTTGTGTGGAAACAGCCGCTTCCTGAACGCCTCCCTCAGCCAGCCTCCCCATTTCTTGCCCCTCTGAGGTGAATATGGTCAGTGCTCAGCCAATTCTTTCTGGTGTTTTCTCCTGAAAGAGAAGCGGTTATTCAGTCCTGACTGTTACACACACAACTCTGTGAGGTGCCGGGCGGCAGTGATGACGCTGCTCTTTCTCCGCCACCTGGAGCCTCCTGCAGGCCGCCTGCCTCTGAGCACTCTGCTCCCATCTTCCGGCACTCAGACTGTGGTTCCGAGTACTTAGATTTGGTTTGAAATACTTAGATTTTGGTTCTGAGTACTTAGATTTGGTTGTCAGTACTGAGATTGTGGTTTCTCAGTAGGTTAGTTTTCACTATACTTCGTAACTGCTTAAATGCTATTAGTAGCATTCATTTAATCTGTTGTAAAGATGTACTATTTTATTTTCCCACTCACCTGTCTTACTTTTCTTCAAAGCCAATATTCAACACACTTTTCACTATTTAATAGTTTTTGAAGTTTCATAGTTACGGTTTTATTTCCAAAAGCCCTTTTTAAAAATTCTGTCTTTTCAAAATGACCTTTTGTTTCCAGATGTAACAGTCTTTGCTCTGGGAATATTTATAGCATTTTGTTGCGATTCTTCACCTTGCATAATCGGGTCCCTCTGTGTTTCTTGTTTTGGTACTTTGTGGGTGCGGAGAGGGTGGGTTTCCTTTCTCCTCCTGCAGGCTTTCCTCATGAGGGCTCCGGGCCACCTACCCACTTCGACTCTGAATCTTGTGCTCGGTTTGGTTCCTAGGATCAGGTTGTGCAGCGACCCCAGATGGGACAGCCTCGAGGGGCGCCCTGG